ACCCAATGACTTAACCTTGAAGGGAAAAGCAAGAAACAAACATCTCTTTACTTCAGTGGTCACCTTTTCAAAGAGTATTTTGATAAAGCTTTTAAAACTTATCAGGATTTGTTCGGGAGAGATCTCTGATTCAAAAGGCTGAGAACATATTTTGTTGTATTGTAAACAGAAGTGCTGAAAATAGTCATATGACCTGTTTCCCTGAGCTTGAATGAAAGTAATCCTGTTAAAGCTTAGAAATATGCATGACTCAGTAGCCAAAGCCATGTGCATATTTGCCCTTACAAAGTTTCTGGGACCTTCCATTGTCCAAAAGTGCTGTGCTGATGATTTCTAAATGGCCTCTAGTGCTTTAGTTTTCTTTCTAGAAATTAATTCAAAACACTGCATCCTAAACTTTTAATAAAAAGAGACTCTCAGAAGCAATTTTTAAATCTATCATGTATACAGTTCCCATTTAGATAAACTAGAAGTAAACTTCTATTTCTGAAGTAAACTCAAGAGCATTTGTTATTACCATTGTGCAATTCTACTACTTTTATAACTTTTATTTTTTTCCCCTCACTATCTCACTGCTGATTGCCTACCTCATTATCTGCTTCAGCCTTCCATTTTCTAATGAGATTAACAGTATCCTGTAACTATTGCCTACACAACTCTGGATGCACTGAAACTACAGTAAGGTTAAATCAAAAAAAGGAAAAAAAAATTAAAAATGGAACCATGTGTCTAGAAAGATGGTGGAATGATTTCAAATCTCAGTGCAGTCATAAATGCCCTAGCTTTCAAGTATCAGGAGAAAATAACCACATAGTTGTTATCTAATTTCTAGTTTCTCAGCTGTAAAATGAAAATGATACACACCCTTTCTAAACCATGCAAGAGTACAATTTACCAAATACTAGAATCAAATACACACTTACACAAGTATCAACTAAAATTACTATTGCAAGCAATCGCCAAGCTCCACAACAGAACTCCTTTTTTTAGCAACTTTATAAGTCTCAGACAGGACAGGACAGCACAGAGCATAGACCTGCTCCTGCAAGCAGTTCTCCAAAGACTGAAATTAATGCACATTCAGAAGAAACTTGCAGGCTACTCCATATGGCATACCAATGTTTCCATTCATAAACCCACCATCTTTTACACAAAGATCTCTGAAAGATGAAGTACTACAAAGAAAAATAAATGGACTGCACAAACTTAGAGATGTTCTGTCCTAGTGCACACTCACACTTCAGGTGTACAAATGCCAGTGCTGAAGCAGCATCAACAGTAACATCACACACACATTCTCGGCCTTCTTCAGAGAGAGATCTTTAATATAAAGAAGCAAAGCTTATAACCCTCACTTTCTCAGCATCACAGATTACTAAGTAATAATCAATTGCAATTACATTGTAATAGAAAACCATTGCATTGAAAGAAGAGTTCCTGGAGAGGTTTGTCCTGCCCCAACACACTGTGGGTGCAGCAAACAACAAAGGAGAATGTCTGTAAAAAATAAGTCTTAAAGCAAAAGGAAGAAAAGTAAAATCTACTTCTCACAATGAAAGAGAATTGGTACCTACAATACCAACCTGAAAATGGCACAAACAAATTCTAAGAGTATTTCCATTGACAAATACAAACCCAATTATTTCTTAGAATAGTATTACCTACTTATTTCATGCTCCTTAAAGGTAGTAACACCAACACGTTAGAGGATTCCCAATACTTTTCAGTGTTGCAAACAAGTGTTAGAGCCCCGTCTCGATGACACCTGGTATCCCCAAAGAATATACTCGTAAGGTCAATGAATTACCACTTTATACCTTAGCACACAGTGGGAAGTTCTAAATGAAACCAGAAACAACTCTGTTTTTTGGTTATGCGAAGGTTGATTTTGTTTCAATATTAAGATAAGTAAATAGTAGGCATATGCAACGCAATTAAAATGTTTATAAGGTTACAGACATTTGAAGATTTCACAAATTTACAGACTACAACTCTGTATCTGTATCTATTTATATATACTCGAAACTCCAGAGGAAAAAAAAAAAAAAAACCAGATCTGAGAGGCCTGTGAAGCTGCCCACCTGTCTTGTGAGTCAGACTTGTATTCTCATTGTCAGTCCCGACATCTAATTAGCATTTTTTCTGTATTCATTGTGCAACTGATGGGATGTATCACTGAATTCAAGTTCCTACTGCTGTGCTATTTTGAACCTTAGACTAGACCATTCAGTTCCTTCATTCCAGTAAAACTCACTTTCTACCCTGAGCAAGGCATAAGAACTCAGCACTGGTAAATGTGAGAGTTATATCTGGACACTGAAAAATGTGCATACAACCCTCTTTTAACCTCTCAAGCGAACATATTTGAGGAATATTTTAGTGGTATTTTAATTTCTGCATATTCAGATAGAAGGAACTTCTATCTTTATGAAATATATTTTTATGCAAGACATTTACCACCCTTAATATGGATGTCGTTACTTTTCAGCATATGGTATTCAGATTTCCAAATAACAAGTTACTATTATAAAAAATGGCATTTCTGGTTTTTTCCATTAAAACATAGCTTACTGTACAATGCTTCCAAGGGCACATGCATTGAAAGACACAAGTGTATGTAAAGGTATTTTAAACAGTTCTTCTTTCCTAGACCCCTGAGCTGGGTATTTAGTGAACGGAATGCTGATGAAGACAACAAACCAGAGTAATGAGCAAGATAAGCTCTTACCATAAAAGCTTTATATAATGGCACTAATACTTCCTCACCAAAACCTTCAAATGAGTTAAGTAATGTACCCCTAGAAGCATTTGCTTTTTAGATTACTGTGTTACATTTTAAACAGAGACACACTGTGCCTGACCTTGCTGCTGCCTTCTCCCTCCTCTGTGACAGGATTTCTACAGACATACACCAAGTTATTTTAGCGTGTTTCATCAACCAAAACTAAAGCAAACCAAGTGACAGATCATTTTATGCCCAAATCTAGTGAGCCTTGGAAGAAGCTTGAAAGAGAAAACACAAGAAGGAGCCACCAGTTAGATTAAGCAAAGCTGCTGCAGAACCCAAACATCTGTCACTGTGTAATCATGAATCCCTCATGACTAAGAATTTCCTACTCTCCCTGTTTCCCGTGAGCTGATGAAATACATGCTAGATACTCAGACATCGATGTAAGGTCCAAAAGGCCAAAAAAAACCTGACTGAAGCCAATCTAATGAACACCTCTAGTTCAATCCAGGTTAACAAAAATTCCAAGCAGCATCAGATCTGAGAAGGAACAACTTAATAAGCCAGAAACACAAAAACATTTCCTGCAAGCATGCGTCTTCAATCAACCACGCACCTGTTTTTTAGTAGTTTAATCTCAATTTCCTGGGAAATGTCAGGCAAGACAGTGAAAGTTGTTGCCAAAGTCAAAACACTGAATCTATTGTTTATTTTAAACCTTCTCGTTGTCATCTTATAGAAAGAATTTTGACTTGCTCGACAAGACCATTCTTCAAATTTTCTTAGCTATTACTCCTCTCTCTTCTGTCAGGTACAAGCTTGTCCATTGTAAGAAACGCACAGAAAACAGGCTGACAGATGTTTAAACAACTTCAAACATTTGTCACTCTTTTTTTTTTCTAGCCTTCTCTTGGCTACCAAGACAAGTCCTTCATAATAGTATTGGAAATCTGTATGCTTCTGTACCCATTACAGAACCAGCTGCTTAGTTTGATATAAATTTCAATAATTTTTCATTTTCAATAATTATTATTTCAATAGCACGTAACTAACACCTTTCTCTTCCATCAAAAGAATAGTCTCTGTAAAATACTTACTGTCAAATAAAGTTAAAATCCCTATTAAAATAACAAGAAGCCAAGAGACAAATAATGGAAACCATTCTCCTGGCTTCCAAAAACAAACAAACAAACAAAACATCAACCCCCAAAACAAATTAACTAACAAACAAAAAACCCCACCACCTTAAAACAGCTAATCAATACAAATAAAAACCCCAGGATTCGCTATCCTCAAAGCATCAGGTACTAGAAAGCAGCTGTCTTGCTTAGGAATAGAATGAGTTTCACATTATCTTTGGTTTTACATTGAGCTAGTCTGTGTTGAAAGTTGTCAAATCAATCAAGAAAAGGGTTGTTATGGTAAGCTACAGGTAAAGTGACATTTTTCATAATCTGTGTTGCTCATCTGTTAATGTAGCTTTATTATTTTCCTTTTTTAGCATCACAAAGATGAGATACTAATGAATTCAAAAGGCAAAGAGGAATGTAGCTGAAAGAAATTTCCCTCTCTTCTTTCAATTTCAAGAGGCAACTGATTGACACAACTCAAGTACCTGACTTCACTCTCATAAAGATTAGTCACAAAGTTAGTCACATCCCGACCAAAGAAAAAGATAACAGAAGTTTCTCAAGCTGATTAAACATTAACATCAGTAGGTAAACCTGAATTTAAGATTTACTGAAAATGGTAATATGTTCCATCTATGTATCACAGAAAAAGCAATAAGCATGACAGAGTTTCCAGCCATTACATCATATTTTGGACAAATATTTGTATATATCATCATGTTGAGCTACAAAAATTATATTTGTCTGATAACATAGTACTAGAAATAGCCAGACAAAAATCAAACAAGTAACATGCTGTGACATGTGTCAAAAATATATTCATGCTAGAAAAGACATCAAATAGTTGAAGACAAAGCCCTTAACTTCCAAAATTGAACACCAAGGGAAAGGCTTGAATTAGGCACACAATCTCTGAAACCTAGATAAGGCAACAAACTATCTGTGTTCTTCCTACACCTATGACTCCCCCAAAGAAAACAGCAGCAAGAAGAGATAAACTGAAAACTAAACAGCCTGTTGGGTTCACATAAAATTAACACTGTAAAATGTAGAAGTGCAACAGTTCCTTACTAGTTTCACTTAATACAAGAATTACTGTAACACTTGCAAACATTGAAATAGAAAATAAAAATAGAATTTACCTTTGAAGGTCTCCAGTTCCTTCCTGTTGGAGAAGAGCAGAATAGTAATAATTTAAAAATCAGAACTACTACAGAATTTATTTGACAATCTTTAACGCTCATTAAAAGATGAAAACCAGAGAATTTGATTATCATTACATATAAGGGTTCTATTACTACATGAGTTTATCTAAAGCAAATAAAATCAACCTGTTAAGAAATTAGGCTACCACTTATTAAAAACATGCACAATTATAGAAATATTGCACACATATATCTAGCCACGTAATTTCTAGATACGCTGCTTCAAAAATAACAGACTTTTCAAAGTTTTAGGTACTAAAACATCCTTTGCTTAGTAGAGCTTTGCCAATTTAAAGCACAGTGAATAATGATTAGTGTCCCATTTTCATCAGTGCTATTCAAAAACATTTTGGCAACACTGAAGGAGAAAAATGTGACAGTATCACTCACTCAGTTACAACACACTTTAAAGGCAATAGAGACATACAGTGACATTCCTCAGAGGAGAGGATTTTAAAGCACAGAATATGACAGATAACCTACAGTACTCACAAGAAAGCTAAAAAATTAAGTCAACAAAAATAGTCTCTTTTTTGCCTTCATACTACTTCTAGCAGTTATGCAATTGTGAATGCAAAGGCTGTAAAACTAAGACAAATATTTTCTCTTATTTTCAAGGAATTGCAAAACGCTCCATTTGCCATAGCTACATAAATACATTTATCATGTATTTATCATGAATTTCGAGGCTAAAGAAGAACCAACTTAATAGCTCAGCTAAGCCAGAATGCTGGCCTTTCCCTTAGGAAAAATCCCTCTTTGATTTACACCCAACACCTTTTCAGTCTGTGCCTGGCAGAATGTCTAGTTAAATTCTGAATTTGGAAGCAAAAGTGACTGAAAGAAAAAATAAAGAAAAAGACTAAAGCGTGCTTCAGTTATTACAGTCACCTACCAGAGACACTGTTTGACAACACATAAGTTACAGTACATCTCCTCCCTAACAGATGATGCAATTCTGCATTTATTCTTGCATCAAGAACAGGCAAAAACCTGAAACAATCTATTTTCTAAGCAGGACAAAGTATTCTAAAAGAAGTAAGAGAATGCATTTACCTTCACATTGTCAGTGAACATCCCACTTTTGTCACCAAATGTTAAATACAGGTTTTTGAGAGAATGTTTTACCAGAAATAAGTTAGAGTGTGATTCACAGTAGAGAAGTCTATTAGTTGCAACTTCCTGTGACTATCTATTTCCTTTCCTGCTTCTCCTGCATCCCTTTCCCAAGCTGGTTTTTCCTTTTTTTACCAGAAAAAAAAAGCTACTTCACAATACCTAGTGATTTGCATGTGAATTAACGTCAAATGAATTAACATGAATTCACAATTAACATTGTGAATTCATTACCCTAATGAATTTTTCCTACCCTGCACATTCCAATTACAAAATTCCTATATATACTCACAAGCTGCATTTCTTATTTTTTAGTAATGGCATAGTAGCTGAGAAAACAACAATCACAGGAAATGCCTGTTTTCCACAGACTAAAACAAAGCCATACTGAGGAAACATCTTGTGAAAGTAAGAGGGGAAAAAGCTACACTACCTGCAGCTAAAATCAGGAGGTCTTATGCCACCTGTCTACTTACGTCTACTTGTCTGCTTATGCCACTTGTCCAGTTGTTTGGAAGACAAAACAATTATTGTCATTGTGTTCAATCAGCAAACAAGATGGTAGCACAGTAACCAAGTGACAGTCACCGATTTTGTCTAAACCCCCAGAACTTTCCTTTTCGAAATCCATCAATATTTTTAGGGTTGATACATTGAGATGCTGTCCCTATATTTATATACATAACCACCATTCCTTAAGAAACTTGGAAATGAATATCTGACAATTTTTTTTTTTTCAACACATTCCCCAGAAAAATTTAAAATATCTATGATTAGCATAAAGTAAAAACACAGATTTGAAATTTAAGAATCTGCATTTCCTAGTATCCTCATATCAATTCAGACCCAAAGGCTGATGAGTCTCTATTTTGGGCAGCATAAATGAATCAATCACATCTCGCAGTTTCTCAAAACACTTTGAATAAAACATAAATTTAGAAATACATACTGAAATACATGCTTATTGAAAATACATTCTGCATCAGCAACACGGAGGATTTTTTTTTTTTTTTAAATTTATTAAGTCAAGTTACCCAAAGCTTGAAGTTTTAAAATTTGTAATCCTAAAATCCCATTTATCATCACCTTTGGTAAGAATATGACACTAAACTCAAAAGTGGAAAGGAAACTCTGACTCAGAATGACACTGGAAAAACAAATGGTTTAAGAGTATATCAGTACATTTTCTAGATGTGTAAGAAGTTCTAGAGAGATGTACAGAAAAAATGTATCACAAAGTATTACACTTCTGCCCTTTAAAAGTAAATAATTTTAAAAATTTATTTATTGATAAACCGTTAGAAAGAAGATACCTTCTATGTCTTCTCTAAGAGTCCAGAGACAAAAAATCATTTGCAGAATACATCAAACACATTAGGAAGCAAACTACATATTTGGAACACAGACAGTGTAAAGAAACAGCAGGTAGTTTGAGAAATTAAAATGAAAAAGATTAAAATGAAAAAAGGTTTTGGAAAAGTTGCCTTCAAAGTGAGGTTAAAAGGCAAGCAGGAGGGAAAACTTGCATTGGAAGTAGCCTGGATGATTAGCTAGAACTGCTTAGTATTTTAGATCTTCCCACATTAAATCACCAGCTTTGATGCTACATATTGCGCTTTTTTTTTGTATTTGCTGCTCTTCTACTTTAAATTGTTCATTCTTTGAGATAATTTTTCACATTGGGTTTATGCAAGTTACAGCAGCAGAGCTCAGCCTTTGATGGATAGCTTACTAACAACATTGTACCAGAAGACAAAACTGCAGAACAATGAATCATCACAGCAGAAGACTTCTGTCAACTGCTTCAGCTCCCAAGTGCATTTCCCTAAACACTTTTGCCACGGTAAAAGGCTCGTTTTTCCCTCTATGCCACTGGCCAGTTAAATTAAGGTAACTGAAAACTTTCCATAGAGAAATGGATTTTACAGAGTTTTCATTCTCCCCCAAAAATATAAAAATAATTCCTGTACTTCAGAGTTGGATAATTCTTTGCATTATTATCAGAAAAAAGACACGCCCTGGCCTGGCTACACATGAAGGCTCTTGAAGCCCAGTGTGGGTTTCTCAGCATCTGTCCAGGATTAAAGGAGCTCCCATGCTGAGTCTAACACTAATCAATACAACCTACTACTTGGCATCTGACTATATGCTATATCACTTCAGCTACTAAATTTTAGGTTAGTGACAACAAATCTGGCTGGTTACACAAATAGGAATACACTTTACCTTTATACAATTAACAGTAAGCTTTGAGAAGAAAGGATTGAATTAATAGTTACATTACAATTTAAGTAGCTCTTGTCATTAAAAGATGAAGTTCAGTACCTCTGAACAAGAAAAAAGGCTAAAATAATTGGCTAAAATTTAAAATAATCAGACTATAGAGGCACGAAGGCACTTCAAAAGTCATCTCGCTCTGTATGCAGTGCAACTTATGAATCCCAGCTTCTTTCCTGAGAGGCAAGAGACCATACAGGCTCCACTGACACTGAATACCATGTGGCTGCACATATAGGCAGTAATTTTAATCTTCTGCCTTTCCAGTTGCTTGTTTTCATAAAATGAAGGGCGGGGGGGGAAGAGAGGGAGCACGTATACTCTGTGAAATTCTATACCCCTCAAACTTAGTTACCAGTTTTTAAGTTACTTGGAATGTTCTGATCATCATGCTGACAGTGGTCTCAACTTCATTTACAAAAGAGTCGAGATTCAGGGTTTGTGGTGAGAAAATATAATTTTGGGGACAACAGGTAAAACAAACTGTTTACAATATATAACTAGTCTCACAGAGCAACTGGTATGACCAGTTAGAAAAGTTAGAAGGCAAATAGAAATTTCCAGTTACCCTCCCACTCCCCTCAGGCTTTTCATTGAAGTGTTGGAATAACCTTGCTTATCCTGAGAAGAAGAAATGGGCACTAGGAAGACTATGTTGGTTATCATTGATGTACAAAAATAAATACAGAAAGAAGAATATGGGAGGAGAAGAGGCAAACCCACCCTGCTTTCAGTTACTGAAATCAAGAGGAATTTAGTTTGTTCAACAAAAGTAAGAAAACATTCTTACTTTTGTACTTTATCTTCAAGAAAGGAGTAGGCAGATAAGAAAGCAACAGTCACAAATGAACGTCAGGAACAATTTTGTAACACTGCCTCTAAAAGTAACAGTCAATAAATTCTAACTACTAGACTCATACATAAACAAAAGACAATCTCAATATGAATGGTACAAATTGAGGACTAAATTTGAAAGATTTTGCAATAAAACATGTTACTAAATGTTGAGTTGTAAATACTATTTACAAAAAATACATTTAAAGAAAGTATAGATGCTTGTGTACAAATTAATTGAAAAATATTTATGGCACCTAACAAGTTCCAAAATAAAACAAGAGAAATGCTGCATTTCACCTGCTTGTCTGGTACAGTTAAGCCTTCAAAATTATTCAATAAAAAAAATAAATTCCTTCCATTGCCTGACTCAAGCTTTAGTAAGCTAAAAAGCCATGAGATCTTTCCTCTCGGACTTTCCTCTGGGTATCAGCAGAGGTAAAAGTCAAAACAGTCAAAAAGTCATAACTCAAAACTTATGTCACTTGCATGGTGCACAGAAATAATTCAAGTACTGGGGTTTCTTGCACTTAGTATTAGAACTCGTGACAATGACACAAAACTGTTTTCCTTCCACACAAGATTCCTCGAGCACCCTTTTCAGATACTTAGGCCAACTACTACTTTGAAATACATTTGAGACTGAAGTAATGGAAAGCCTTTAATTATTGAAAAAAACCAATAAAATCTAAAACTACTACTAAAAGACTGTTGGAATTAAGCAGCAGGCAAA